TCTTGTTAGGTGGACTTGAAAATCTTGTTAGGTGACTTTGAATCTTGTTAGGTGAACTTGAAAATCTTGTTAGGTGGTCTTGAATTCTTTTATCCTCCTTTGTTTTGAGCTTTGATAATTGGCACCCCAGTAGTTTATAGCTTTAATGCAATTGGCTCCCCGGTAGTTTGTAACTTTGACACACAAAATCCTGAAAAGAACAACAATTAATGCATTATTTTTTATTCACACACTAATTCTAATTTGATTTATTTTGACTAGTTTAACTTTATTCAACTAACACAATTTACCTATTAAATTATGCCTTAATTAGGGTTAATCAGTATGTGGAATCAATTCTCTTTCATTCTTCCTTGTAGTGTAAAGTGTTTTGTTTGAGTCGGTTGAGTGAGGATGAATTTGGTTGTAGGCTTTTGATACACCATATACTTGTCACGAGGTATGCTCTTGTCCAAGCAATTACATTCATCTCTCACTTTCTACGAATCAAACAAACACCTATGCACCATTGGTTGAATGGAATGAATCAATTTGGAAAACTTATTGGAATTAACTCTATGGATTAGTTAATCCTCTTTTTACTTGCATATTCGTCAAAACACAAACCACCAAACTTCAAATCACAATATTTTTCATTTTTTCCTTTCACAAATCACTTTCGAAAACACTTGATCTTTCCTTCCCTGAAGAGATGAGCTCAGAAATTTTTTCAAGTTAAAACACGATACTATAAGTCTCTCTACGCTTGGGGAGCATTTTTGCATATTCACACACAATTTCCCTACATCTTGCACGAGCTTGAGTGAGAGTGACATTCACCCTTCATTATAATTGACACACATAATCAAGTTTGTGTGGGAAGCAAGGGAAACAAATCAAGCAAGAAGGTGCAAATGAAGATGAAGGTGTCGATGGCCAAGCTGTTAAGGTTGTCGATATTATTGATACTTTCAGGCTTCAACTGTGTACATTCTTTGTTNACTCACCCTTCATTATAATTGACACACATAATCAAGTTTGTGTGGGAAGCAAGGGAAACAAATCAAGCAAGAAGGTGCAAATAAAGATGAAGGTGTCGATGGCCAAGCTGTTAAGGTTGTCGATATTATTGATACTTTCAGGCTTCAACTGTGTACATTCTTTGTTTAAGGATGCATAGCATTAACTTCTTTACTTTTTTGTCCATGTGTGAATATAAGGGTTATTTGCTATTAGCANTCAGGCTTCAACTGTGTACATTCTTTGTTTAAGGATGCATAGCATTAACTTCTTTACTTTTTTGTCCATGTGTGAATATAAGGGTTATTTGCTATTAGCAAGAGCAACATGTCATTGACAAGAATCAATTTGTCGCTTATGTTAAGAACTACATTAAGTTGTTGGCACCTAAGTTGGAACCAGAGAAGCAAAAGTTGTTTAAGAATCATATCGAGGGAGAAACTAAATGCCTTCTCTCAAAGCTTGGTGACCTCCAATTGTATGTGTAGTTATGGTTTTGGTAGTAACTTTATCTTTAGTGCATCAATTTATGATATTCTTGATTTGATTTGTTGTTGTTTTTAGTCTATTTTACAATTTATGATAAGAGTTATGTATTAAAAGGTTATTTTTTGTAATGAAACTCAGTTTATTATTTAATAAAATTTCTTTGTTTCCTATTTCAATGAGAATCTATGAGGGTAAACTATTTACATTGTATTAAACATATGATATGCACTTCCAGTCTGTGAATCTTGCTTGAAAGGTAAAATGACCAAGAGGCCTTTTATAGCNGAGAATCTATGAGGGTAAACTATTTACATTGTATTAAACATATGATATGCACTTCCAGTCTGTGAATCTTGCTTGAAAGGTAAAATGACCAAGAGGCCTTTTATAGCTAAGAGCTATAGAGAAATAGATTCGTTACCATCTAATTCAGTACCTCATACTCCCATAGTACTATAGAATAGGCTTAAACCTAGCCTACGACAAGTTCAGATATTGGGGAGTCTAGCACATGTGCTAAAATGCAATGCAGATAAGTCAGAATCAAGAACAGAAGTCTACTTGTTGATAGGGTATCCAAAAGGAACAAAAGGAGGTCTTTTCTTTAGTCCTAAGGATCGGAAGATCATTGTTAGCACCAATGCCCGATTCTTATAAAAAGACTACGTCATGGATCACAAACCCAAGAGTGGAATTGTTCTCAAGGAGTTGAGAGGAGATAGATNCCAAGAGCTATAGAGAAATAGATTCGTTACCATCTAATTCAGTACCTCATACTCCCATAGAACTATAGAATAGGCTTAAACCTAGCCTACGACAAGTTCAGATATTGGGGAGTCCAGCACATGTGCTAAAATGCAATGCAGATAAGTCAAAATCAAGAACAGAAGTCTACTTGTTGATAGGGTATCCAAAAGGAACAAAAGGAGGTCTTTTCTTTAGTCCTAAGGATCGGAAGATCATTGTTAGCACCAATGCCCGATTCTTATAAAAAGACTACGTCATGGATCACAAACCCAAGAGTGGAATTGTTCTCAAGGAGTTGAGAGGAGATAGATCAGGGAATACTTCTGCAATACCAATTGTACAAAAGGAAACATCCCACAAAAGAGTAGAAGATATCTCATTACCTCGTTTTAGTTGGAGCAATATTGATACTCGTGCAAAACCTGCACAACATGTCACTAATGATACACAAATGCGGGTAGTGCCTCATCGTAGTGGGTGGGTTATTCATCANTCGATACTCGTGCAGAACCTGCACAACATGTCACTAATGATACACAAATGCGGGTAGTGTCTCATCGTAGTGGGTGGGTTATTCATCAACCCAAACGGTATATGTTATTAGGAGAGNTTGATACTCGTGCAAAACCTGCACAACATGTCACTAATGATACACAAATGCGGGTAGTGCCTCATCGTAGTGGGTGGGTTATTCATCAACCCAAACGGTATATGTTATTAGGAGAGTCTTTTGATAGGATCCCTGAGGAATAGAATGTCAATCCCAAGACTTACAATGAAGCACTCCAAGATAAGGATGCATAACTTTGACAAAGGGCTATGATGTCTAAGATGGATTCCATGTACTCCAATTAGGTCTAGGAACTTGTAAAACCACCTGATGGGATAAAACCCATTGATATAAGTGGGTCTATAAGAGGAAGAGAAGACTAGACAGTAAGGAGGCAAGGCTTGTTGCAAAAGGATTAACACAGAAAGAGGGAATTGATTATGAGGAGACCTTTTTGCTGGTAGCTAAGCTAAAGGTGATCTGGATTCTCTTATCCATTACAGCTCATCTTGATTATGAGATTTGGCAAATGGACATCAAGACAGAATTCCTTAATGGGAATTTTGACCTGTGCATCTATTTGGTGCAACCAAATGGATTCATATCAAATGGCCAAAAGCATATAATGTGCAAACTTAAGAGGTCCATTTATGGACTAAAGTAGGCATCTCAATCTTGGAACATTCATTTTGATTAGACTATAAAATCTTATAATTTTAATCAACGCCCGAATGAGTCTTGTGTGTATAAAAAGTGTGAGGACAATGTGGTAATATTTCTAGTACTTTATGTGGATGATATCTTGCTCATCGGAAATGATTTGGGGGTGTTATCTTTTGTTAGGGTATGATTATCCAATCAATTAGATATGAAGGATTTGGGGGAAGCTAGTTACATCCTTAGGATCAATCTTATGCGAGATCGCAATGATAAGATGTGAGGCTTATCTCAGGCTACCAATATCAATATCATTCTACCCTGTTTTAGCATGCAAAATTCAAAGAAATGGTTTCTCCCTTTCAGACATGGATTTTCTTTTTCAAAAGATCAGTGCCGACACCTAAAGAGATAGAGAGCATGAAGACGATTCCTTATACTTGTGGCAGTGGGAAGTCGCATATATGTTATGCTTTGCACTAGACCTAATATTTGTTTTGTCGTTGGCATTGTTAGTAGATATCAATCTAACTCTGGGCAAGAACATTGGACTGCGATGAAATATATTCTCAAGTACCTAAAAAGGATGAGAAATTATATGTTGGTTTACCAGACAAATAGTCTACTACCCCTTGGGTACACAGACTCTGATTTTCAGTCAAATAAAAATTCCAAGAAATCTATCTTAGAATATGTGTTTACTCTAGGAGGTGGAGCCATAAGTTGTAGGAGTATCATGCAATCTTGTATTATTAATTCCACTATAGTGGCCGAATACATGGCAACCTCTGAGGCAGCCAAAGAGAAAGTTTGGCTCAAAAACTTCCTAATGAATTTAGAAGTGATCCCTTCAATAAGATTGGATATCACATTTTATTGAGACAATAGTGGAGTTCCCTATGACTAGATTGTGCTTTTAATGGATGCACAGTTCCCTATGACCAGACATGGCATGCTGTGTCAGGATATTTCTACTATTTAAATGCTACACGCTGTCACTGAATGCACTCATGTATAAAAAACATAGTAAACTGAATAATATATATGCAGAACTCAGTTGTCAAGTCAGAGTTTAAATTAAGTACATTTTGGGTGTATATCATTGTTCTTTTACCCTTACGTGACAAGAATTAGGCCTCGGCAATGGGACGGCCTGACCCAAAATTTTTCAGTCCATAGCCTGCCCGTTGGTCAGGCCTCTCAGCTCTGACTAGTCAACAGACCGGATCGGACCCACTCATTAAGAATTTTTAAGGCCCATGGCCCACCTGTGGACTAACCTAATGGGNGACCTCTCAGTCCATAGCCTGCCCGTTGGTCAGGCCTCTCAGCTTTGACTAGTCAACAGACCGGATCGGGCCCACTCATTAAGAATTTTTAAGGCCCATGGCCCACCTGTGGACTAACCTAATGGGCCAAAAACAAGCTAAATAAAGGCTAGGCCTTATGGACTGTCCATTGGACCTAAAACGGACTTTTTATTAAACAAAAACTACTTTTATGTAAATATAATACAAAATACATCAAAAATTTTATTTTTTATGTAAAAATTACAAAAAAGACATCAATTAAATGAAGTTAGTATGAAAAAATAAACTAACAAAATAATTATTCATATTGATTGAATTTAACAAATATTCATAAAGAGTTACAATGTTACATTACAAATTGATTGATGGGTGAGACTATTTTGCATCACTACAAATTGAGTACATCTTAATTAGGTTCACACCTACACAATTGTCAATCATTTGCAAGTATCAACCTTATAAAAGTTACAGATCAAATATCAAATAAATAATACAACTATGAAATTAAGAGAAACTATATTTATCTTAAATTAAGGGGAAGTTGTCAACTCAATGGATATATTCTATTGGGCTAATAGGCGATCTCAAGGGCGGGCCAACAGGCTTCTTAACAGGTTGGCCCACCAAGCCCCTGAACTTAAAAAAAAGGGCCCATGCCCTACCCACTTGACTAACAGACTACCCAAGCCCTGCCACTTGTACATGTCTTAGGTGGCCAATTGAGCTTTGGGCTTTTTGGTGAGGTCTAGCCAAAATGAAACTTGCACTAAAATTACCAGNGACAGGCCTATTGGGCCAAAAATAGCCTAAATACATGCTAGGCCTTATGGGCTACCCATAGGGCCTAAAATGAACTTTTTAATAAAAGAACTACTTTTTATGTATAAAATACAAAAAAAAGACATCAAAAAAATTATTTTTATGTAAAAATTACAAAAAGATATAAATTACATGAAGTTAGTATGAAAAAAGAAATTAACAATAAAATTATTCATATTGATTGAATTTAACAAATATTCATAAAGAGTAACAATGTTACATTACAAATTGATTGATGAGTGAGACTATTTTGCATCACTACAAATTGAGTACATCTTAATTAGGTTGACACCTACACAATTGTCAATCATTTGCAAGTATCAACCTTATAAAAGTTACAGATCAAATATCAAATAAATAATACAACTATGAAATTAAGAGAAACTATATTTATCTTAAATTAAGGGGAAGTTGTCAACTCAATGGATATATTCTATTGGGCTAATAGGCGATCTCAAGGGCGGGCCAACAGGCTTCTTAACAGGTTGGCCCACCAAGCCCCTGAACTTAAAAAAAAGGGCCCATGCCCTACCCACTTGACTAACAGACTACCCAAGCCCTGCCACTTGTACATGTCTTAGGTGGCCAATTGAGCTTTGGGCTTTTTGGTGAGGTCTAGCCAAAATGAAACTTGCACTAAAATTACCACTGGCATAGGTGGTAAAAAGGGATTCCATAGACAAGGTAGCATCATTTGTGCTCTCAAAATCTGCATAAGCTTGAGTTGAATCTCNAGTGGCATAGGTGGTAAAAAGGGATTTCCACAGACAAGGTAGCATCATTTGTGCTCTCAAAATCTGCATAAGCTTGAGTTGAATCTCTTAGTAAAATGCAAATGCCAACAAACCCCTCAGCTCTTCATGCCCCATTCCCCAAAAAACCAATACAACCCACATAGATCACCCCAAAAACCAAC